TTGCTGCTGCTGCAGTTGCTGCTGCTGCTGCTGCTGCTGCTGCGCTGCGGGGGCCTTAGGGGCCCCTCCCAGGGCCCTATGGAAGAAAGAAGAAACCCGTGAGGTGAAGCGACTAAAGAGAGAGGGGGCCCCCTCCCCTTCAGGGGGCCCCTGGGGGCCCCCATAAGGATGGCTTCTATGGGTGTGGCGCTTCTGGGGAGGCCGTCGCTCTACGTAGGTCGACATAGCTGCTGCTGCTGCTGCTGCTGCTGCTGCTGCTGTTGCTGCTGTTGTTGCTGCTTTTGCTGCTGCTGCTGCTGTCCTCGGGCCCTGAAACAGAAATCTCTACTTAAAGTAAAAAACCAAAATGACGCAGAAAAGGAGGGGAGGGTGTAGCGGCTGCGGCCTCACTAACCTACTGTGCTGCTGCTGCTGCTGCAGTTGCTGCTGCTGCTGCTGCTGCTGCTGCTGCTGCGCTGCGGGGGCCTTAGGGGCCCCTCCCAGGGCCCTATGGAAGAAAGAAGAAACCCGTGAGGTGAAGCGACTAAAGAGAGAGGGGGCCCCCTCCCCTTCAGGGGGCCCCTGGGGGCCCCCATAAGGATGGCTTCTATGGGTGTGGCGCTTCTGGGGAGGCCGTCGCTCTACGTAGGTCGACATAGCTGCTGCTGCTGCTGCTGCTGCTGCTGCTGCTGTTGCTGCTGTTGTTGCTGCTTTTGCTGCTGCTGCTGCTGTCCTCGGGCCCTGAAACAGAAATCTCTACTTAAAGTAAAAAACCAAAATGACGCAGAAAAGGAGGGGAGGGTGTAGCGGCTGCGGCCGCTGCTGCTGCTGCTGCTGCTGCTGCTGTCTGCTGCACGTTGTAGACAGCAGGAGCTGTGGGGTATGAGCCGCAGCAAAGTATGAAGGAAACGACGACTAAAGAACACCAAATAATCAAGACAGTCGCTACAGCTGCTTCTATTGCTTCTGCTGCTGTTGCGCTGCCGCCAGCAGCAACAGCGGCTGCAGCAGCAGCTGCTGCTGCAGCAATTCGCTGCAGCCGTTGCTGCGCCTGCAGCCCCATGCATGCAGCATGCAGCAACAGTTTGTCTAAGACAATAAAAACAAAGATTTGTCTTACTTACAGTAAAATATACTTTCTGTACACATCAGCCGATGCTTACGGCTAGGGTTTAGGGTTTAGGGTTTAGGGTTTAGGGTTAATAACTAAGCCCCTGCGGCTGCGCAGCCGCAGTCTCTCAGAAAGCAATTACGCTCACAGCAGCAGCAGCAGAAGCAGAAGCAGGAACAGGAGCAGCAGCAACAGCGGCAGCAGCAGCGGCAACAACAACGGCAGGAGCAGCAAGGGCAGCAACAACAGCAGCAGCTGCAAGTGCAGCAGCAGCAGCACGGCGAGCAGCATCAGCAGCAGCCGATGAGTTTCCCCTTGGTGGATCTGCAGCAGCAGCAGCAGCAGCAGCAGAAAGAAGAAAACAAAGTGCAGCAGCACTTGATTCACGAGGACTGCAGCCGACCGCGGAGCAGCATCGTTTGCAGCTGCTGCAGCAGCACCAGCAGCACCAGCAGCAGCAGCAGCAGCAGCAGCATTCTGGTGTGGCGGCAACATGCGCGAGAGAAAGTATATAAAGATTTATGTTTAAAGGGCTTCCTATTAAAGGAAGGCACTACCTTTGGGGCTGACTACTTGGCTTATGCTGCAGACCCTAAGGAAGCGCATGCATCTTTCTTAGTGTCTGTACACCCCATGCACAGCAGCAGCAGCTGCTGCTGCTGTTGTGACTGCAGCAAGAGTGTCTGTACACCCCATGCACAGCAGCAGCAGCTGCTGCTGCTGTTGTGACTGCAGCAAGGCCTCTTACTGCTGCAGCAGCAACGCAGCAAACAACGCACAGTGCTGCTGCTGCACCATTAAGAAGAGACGCCTCTCCTGCTGCTGCAACACTCATCCTTGCAGCCTGACGAACAGCAGCAGCAGCAACAACAACAACAACAACAGCAGCAGCAGAAGCAGCAGCAGCAGTTGCTGCTGCTGCAGCAAAACGTTTGATCCTGCTTTTTCTCTCGTTGCGCTGCAGCGGCTAGCTAGCAGCAGCAACAAAGCTGCGATAGTGGCGTTAGTTGGCTGCTGCATGCAGCCTCCGGTGTACATACAGCTGGACCGTATTAAGGCTTCTTGCAGCTAGCACTGCGGCTGCTGCTGTTACTGCTGCTGTTGCTGCAATTATTGCTGCTGCTGCTATTGCTGATGCACCTGTTGCTGCTGCAGCTGTTGCTACTGCTGGAGTTGTCGCTGCTGATACAGCTACAGGTCTTGCTGCTGCTGTTGCTGCTGCTGTTATTGCTGTTGTTGTTGCTTAGTGCGCTCATCAGCAGCAGAATGCCCCAAGCGTTGTAGAGCGAGAGGGAGTCTCGGCTGATTCCAGGGTTTAGGGCTTAGGGCTTAGGGTTTAGGGTTTAGGGTTTAGGGTTTTGAAGGTCTTGGGGTGTCTACGCTTAGGGGTGAGGGTTTGCGCCTAAGCAACAGGGGTTTCGGCGCTGTTCATGGTTTGTTGTTTCTCTCTCTCTCTCTCTATATATATATGTATATATATATGTTTATATATATATATATATATATAATATATGTATGCATGCATATGTGCTTTATTTCTCTTTATATATATTAATACATTTATATCGGTCTCCCTGTCTTTGTCGTTTTTATTTTTCTCTGTCTGTCTGTCTCTGTTGTTGTCTCTGTCTCTCTACCTCACTCTGTTTTCTCCTGTCTCCTTTATTTTATATTTATTTATTTTATTTTTATATTTATTTTATTTATTTTTATTTATATTTATTTTCTTCTTTGTCTATGTTTATCTGAGGGCGTCGCCCTTCGCGTTTCTTTTGCTGCTGTCTCCTCCTTACTGGCCGATTCAGCACAGGCAGCTAGCTGTAGGTAGTTGCTGCAGCGAGCTGTGGGTAGCTGCTGCAGCTAGCTGTAGGTAGTTGTTGCAGCTAGCTACGGCTAGCTGCTGCAGCACTTCGTTGTGGGTTGTTGGCGCTACTCTGAGGCAGCAAAAGACTAAGTGGAGAGGCAGCTGCAACACTAGGAAAGGGGAAGCAGCAGCAGCAGCAGCAACATAAGAGTGACGAAGATAGAAACATAGAGAAACCAATAAAGAGGAGTACAACTTAGAGATGAAAGGGCTCTCAGGTGTTATTACTGAGGGGCAAAGTACACACGTACGAAAGCAGCACGTATAACAACAGCAGCAAATTGTTATAGGATAGCGCATGCAGCGCTGAGGTGTCTATACACCTCATATGCCCTGTCTTCTGCTGCTAAGGAGGCAGCAGCTCTATTTGCCTTCAATGGTTGCTGCGGTTGTGTACAGACACCATGTGCTCGCTGTAGCCGGCAGAAAAAGTGGAAGGTCGCTCTGAAATCAATGCATGCAACTAATATTCTGTTTATTAAAAATATATTTTTATATTTAAAAATTAAAAGAAAAGAAAAGAAAACAAAGAAGCTCAGCCCTGGCTGCTAGTCGCTGGCGGGGCCCCGCATGCGCAGAGTTGAAGAGAATTGTCGCTGATATCTTTGTGTTGCTTATCTTTTTTCCTCTTTTTACATATTAAAAGGATATATTTTATTTATTTATTTTATTTTTTCTTGAATGCCGGGGCATTTCCATCTCAATACCGCAGCAGAAGTCTGACGAAGAAGAACGATGAGTTCAGGGGGCGCGCAGAACAGGTAAAGTAGACTCTAATGGCTATTAGAAAGCCTCTCTCTAGTCCAGATGTTTATATTAAATTAGTCGTTGTTAAATAATAATTAAATTTATATTTTTTGCTCTCTCTTTTCCTCGAGGTGGCGGTGCTGCCTTACCGCCGACACCTGAGCTGCCTATACACCTGAGCTGCCTATACACCTGAGCTGCATATACACATATTCTGCGTATACAGCTGAGCTTTGCATACAGCTGAATTGCTTGAGTTGTGCGTCTCCCCTCCACGTAAGTAAGCAGGGTGTACGTGCACGGTGAGCTGCGTATACACCTGAGCTGCCTATACACCTGCGATTTGAATATGTTTTTGTCTTTCTGTGTAGCTTGCTGAAGCTGTTGGATTTGAGTCAGTGTGAGTGTCGAAACGAAGCCGCTGCAAATTCCCTACTTGGCCTCTTGCAAAACCAAGAAAAGAAAACAGAAAGCGCAGCGGTGCTGGAGTCTGGCAATGAAGATCCGCAGCTATTCATTTCAGTCAGCAAACACCTGTACCCCCTGCGAAGAGTTTTTTAGGGTTTAGGGTTTAGGGTTTAGGATTTGCAGGGCTGGTGCATCCTTGGAAGGGTTCGTCCTGTAACCTCCTTTTTTTGCTCGCTAACGCCCGTGCTGGGTGGCGGTTTAGGGTTTAGGGTTTAGGGTTTAGGGTTTGGTTGCAGGTGGGCTTCTCGGTGCCAGTGCGGCTGACGGGGCTGCGGCTACAAACCCCCAAAGGAGCTGTTGCTGCTGGGGAGGCCCCCAGGCGTCTTCGTCTCTTCTTTAACCACCCCACCAAGTCCTTCGCTGACGCAGGCAAGCCCTAAACCCTAAACCCTAAACCCTCGGGCGCAAACCCTAAGCCCTCACATTCTGGGATTGATTGCAAACCATTAATTGCCAAACCCAACTGCAGCGGCTTAAAGGAGGTTGCCGAAGGAGACAGGAGAATAACAGATTCAACAGCTTAGGGTTTAGGGTTTGGAATCTAGGGTTTAGGGTTTAGGGTTTAGGGTTAGGGTTTGTGCGCTGCAGAGACCGACCCTGCAACAGATGAATTTGTAGGCCACATGGCTGCTGAGCGGCGCAGGCGCAGTTTGCGAGACAGACAGAAGGTTTCGGGTTGAGGGTTGAGGGTTTAGGGTTTAGGGTTTGTGGTTTAGGGTTTGTGGTTTAGGAGCTACCGGAAGATGAGTCGCTGGAGGCTGGGCTGACGCTGCCTCTGAAGTCTGTGCGGTACAAGGGGGTTGCCTCTCTGCAAGTGTTTGTTGGTGCGCCATTGAGGTGTACATACACCTCAGCAGCTTGAGGGTTTGCTGCTTGAGGGTTTGCTGGCTGCTGGGAAGGGAACTCCACTGCTGCTGCTCCTACTGCTGCTGCTGCTGCTGCTGCTGCTGTTGCTGCTGTGTGCATGCAGCGGACAATGGGGGGGCCCCCGTAACAAAGATATCGCAGCTCGAAGTCTACGGCACGCCGGTAGACAGTCTCCAGGTGATTCGCCGTCTAGGGTTTAGGGTTTAGGGTTTAGGGTTTATGCATAATGGCGGACAGGGCGTAGTGGGGTTTAAGGTTTAGCGAGGGTTTGCATTCGACTTCAGAGCGGCGCAGTTCACCTGCATGTTAGAGTCTACGGTTTAGGGTTAGGGTTTAGGGTTTAGGGTTTAGGGTTTAGGGTTTAGGGTTTGGATGCAGATGAAGGACTGGAAGCCTTTGAAGCCTGAAGAGAGTTTGGCTCAGAACGACACCTAAGCCCTTTTTCTTTTTTCTTTCTTTTTCTCCCGGCATCAACATAAAACTAAAACAACAAACAAATAATTAAAAAGGTAATTAAAGCCTCTCCACATGCACGCGCTTTTGGGGCTGGCGCTGTTTGTCTGCAGTGCTTGATGCATGCATGCATGCATACAACACTGCAGACAAACAGCCCCAGCCCCAAAAGCAAACCCTTACTCTCCTTGGAGTTCAGGGGTATTTCTTGCGGTGTATGTACACCGCAGAAACAGCAGGGAGGCAGCATAAACGCCTCCTTTGCTGCAGCTGCTGCAGGGGGCCCGTAGGGGCCCCCTCAGGCGGCATTTAGAGGGTTCGACTTGTGGCTTTAGCTGCTGCTGCTGCTGCTGTAGGCAGGGGCAATGGGAAATGCTTGGCCTGCAGCAGCAGCTGCTGGTGCAGCTACCGCTGCTGCTACTGCTGCAGTTACTGCTGCAGCAGCAGCAGCAGCACACAGTTGCACCAGCAGCAGCAGCAAACAGTTGCAGCAGCAGCAAACAGTTGCAGCAGCAGCAGCAGCAGCAGCAGCAGACAGTTGCAACTCACTGAGTCTGCGAAACTCTTTGTCGCGGGGCCCCCCAAAGGGCCCCTTCTTAACAACGAGGCCATGGGGTCCCCTCTAAGGCCCCGTGGGGGCCCATAGAGGCCCCTGGGGGCCCGCAGGGTACTGAGGGCCCTCAGAAGGCTCGGCTTTTGCTTATGAGGGAACGAAGCACGCTTTTTCGGGTTTTGTTGAAGGCCCTGAGAGTGTCAGTGGTGGTTAGCTGCAGCGAGAGAAGGCGTGGTATGGCGACAGCAGGTTGATGAGGTGTACGTACACCTCGAAAGCTGCCTCTGTGAGGTGTACGTACGTACACCCCAGGGGCAGTGCGTAGGGCAGCAATTGAGCTTGTACAGCATTATTTGAGTTTGTTAGTTATATTTTGCTCTCTAGTTACTCAGCAACAAACCCCCAAAAAATCATAAGAGTCTTCCGATACAACAAAGCAAGAAGGAGGCAGTTTATTGCTGGTGTTCTCTGTACACCTAATAATTTATATTCTTAAGAGGCATGCAGTGTTTGTCTTCATATCGGATGAGGCTGAGGTGTACGTACACCGCAGAGTTGAGGTGTTACGATTATTCATTGAACAGAAGCCTGTCTCCTTCCCCTCCCCGTGTGGTGTCTGTTTGTGTGTTTGTTTCTTTGTTTGGCTGTCTCTTTAAAAATATATATTTTCGCTGTTTTTCTTTCTATCTAGCTCTCTTGTCTCTTTTGCTGTGTGGCTTCCGTTGTAGTGTTTTCATCAGACAGTAAAATAAAACAATAAATTAAAAATTAAATAATAATGTTTGCATCGAAGCTCTCTGCTCTGTTTGCTGCTGAGGTGTATGTACACCTGGTGCGCTCACTCGAGCGGGGCCTTCTTTCTGTTTTCACGTACGGCTCTTCCTAGGTTTATACCTTAAATAATAATAACTGAAATAATTAATTATTTAGATTAAAATTTATTTAAATTTTATAATTAATATTCAATTTGCCCTTTGTTTTTCTCCTTTCTTTGTGATATGCCTGTCGATATCACCCCCCGAAGACCTCGAGCAAGTAT